TCTAAAATAATATTGCTCTACTAGATCGGCCTTTATTGTATTTTTGACAGTCCTTATAACAGTGCACATATAATAAAATAAAAATCTAACTCAAAATTTGGTTTCTGATAGCAGGTTTAATTCTGATTTGATTGTTAGATAATAGATGTAAGCCTTGAACATGACCTCTCAATGATTAAAGTTGAAAATTCAGCAGGTTTTTCTGGTTAAACTTTGCAAACTTAAATGACTATAATAATTAGGACATTGTGTCTTGAGACAAAAATGAATGTTTATTTTTCTAAAAGACAATTAGAGAGTAGACCCTCGGGTTTTTTAATCTAACTACAAAGGCATGTACCCCTCAGTAAAATAGCAAAATAATTAATGGTAACATTTCTGACCTACACCAAGTTCATTTTCCGCAAACTCAAGAAAATGAACCGCCTGGAGCATGACTTTAATCTAATCTTGATTTTTAACCTTATATTATGCATATTGGTATCAGCTCTTAAAAGAACACCTTTTAGAATTCAAAAGGCATGCATTTCTGCTTGTAGTTTTCTTTTATTAAGATTTTTCTCATTATAGAAACTTTGTCCCTTCTACTTTTTATTTTAGAAACAAAAGGTCTAAACTACTTTCCCCTGTAGGTTTTAATTAGAGCCCTATTATAGTAGATATATAGCATGATACTGGTTTATAGAGATAATTATGACAATTAATATGATTATAAACAGAGAATTATTCAAGTGAAACCAACTTGAAGAATATGTATGTGTTAATTATACTAAAAGTTTTAAAAGCCCTGCTAATTAAAGAGGTACTGAATAGTGGAATATTGGTATACTTTGTGGAAAAACGGTACATTGAAATTTGTAAAATTTTAAAAATAGTTTTCAATTTAAATACACACTGGCAGATTGCTCTTTAAAGAAATCCTATAGTATATCCTATAATAAAATACAGAATAACATCTTATTTTCTGTAATTTAAGGGATTATATCATAATCAGGTTTAGGTGTATCTTTAATAGCCATTGGCTATCCACTGCTAAGCAAAAGATTCCTCTAAGAAATTCAAGATATTTACGAATTTTTTAAATTAACTATGAGCTATTTAACATGTTCATTTTGTTGAAACTATAGCTGGAACTGTGTCAATTTTCTTTAACTCCCTCCCCCAAAACATCATTCTTTTAATCTTGGATACTACTTACAATTTTGGTGAAAATCATCCATTGTCTACCATGTGCTATGCTGGACTCAGCAGATGAGGGTACATGCAGTACCAAATAAATGATCTTTCTACTCAAAGGAACTTAGATTGTTTGGTGGGGATCTGTATACAGAGGAAGAATGGGGAAAAAAAAAACATCAAGGAAACTGCCCTTGTACAATGTTTGAACAGAAAGATATGCCCATAGCCAAATGGCTCCCATGACTGAAAGTTTAAAAAAATAAAAAGGAGAAGAAGAAGAGGAAGAAGAAAAAAGCTTCTGTTCTGGTACTGAAAATTCCCATGTAGGCCTATGCCATTTCCCATACATTCCTTCAGGACTTTCAGTGGCTATCTCTTTCTGGAAAAATCCACATTTGAGAGCAAAATCAGTAGTCTAGGGTTTGAGATGTTTAGTCAAAAAAATATAAATGATGGGTCTCTGACAGATTCTTCCAGTTGGCCTAGAATTTGAGTGTCATTTTGTTCTGTTACTGATCCTGAGAGAATTAATGTTTTGTTGACTCCGAATGGATATTTATTAATGGCTGGAAAAGATGCAGGTGCACACATAGCCAAGTCTATTTGCTAACACTAGGAAATTTTACTTGTAACCTGAGTAGACATCTGTTTGTGGAGCCACACCACCACTGCTTTTAAGAGCTGCAGAGTTCAGGGAAGTATCAATGTCCTGGTCATTGTTGACCCTTCCTTCTCATCCTCCACATCCTGGTGGTTGTCCAGTCCTGTCCAGTCACCCTACCCAATTCACCCATAAAACTCGCAGGTGGATTTTTTTTAAAAATAAATTTCAGTAATAAAATATTTCGTCATTGACTCCAACTTCCCTTCTGACCCATCATATTTAATGATTCATTCATTTAATGCTCTGCAAGGATCTGTTGCTCTGTGTCAGGCACCAGGCTAGGTGCTAGTGACTCAGGGGTGACAAAGCAGACCAATGAGTGTAAACCTACTGAAGTACACATTATCCGAGAATTGCATAAACACATGTACAAGTGCAATTCTGACAAATTGCTGTGAGGGAAAGTTTATGGGAGTACCTAAACTGAGGTGTTTACCCTAGTCAGAGAGGTCCGGGAAGACTTTGTCTAAGGAAGTGATACAGGAGCTGAAACATAAAGGTCAAGAGGGGAAGGAAGAGCCTTCCAGCCATGGCGAACAGCATAGACAAATGCTTTGGTAGGCAGGAAGAACTGAAGAGGCCAGCCTGTTGAGAGAGCAGAAAATGAGGGGTAAAAGATTAACTGAAGCCAGAACGTGCAAGTTTTTGCAGGCAATGTTAAGGGCTTTCCTCTTAATCCTAAGAGCAGCAGGGAAGCCACTGAAAAGTTTTAACTGAGAAAAGGGGATATTCAGTCAGACTTATGTTTGTTTATATAAGACTGCTCTGGCTGCATTTTGGAGACAGCATGGGACAGGAAGCCAGAGTAGACATGGTAGATCACTTGAGAGCCCTTGCAATCATCCAGGAGATGGGTCATGGTCACTTGGATTACAATGCCTGGTGGAGAAGGTGTAGAGAAGTACATATAGATTGGCTAAGGAGAGGATGGAGGGAGGTGTCAAGGGTGACACCTAGATTCTGACTTTTCAACCTGGATAGTTTGTGGTACCATTCATTAGACCAGGTTTTCAGTTTAAAGTGTCTTGGAGACATTCAGGAGGAGCCAGCCACTGGATACAAGGAGTGGCTCTCAGAAGAGAGGGCTAGGCTGGAAATAGAAATCAAAGAGTCGTCTGATACGTGAATCTGCCCTGTAATATCCAGAATAGCTTTCCAGGCTCCTGCTTTAACACCTTCAAAATGATAGAAAATTCACCACTGCAACAACCAGATGTGCTTTAATTAAAGAAAGGTGTTCCTTATGTTGGACTAAAAGCCTTTTGAAGTAAATTCTGCTCGTTAGTTCTGATTCTGCCCTTTGGACAAATGAAATCACTGCCAAATAGGGCTTTAGGAATTTGAAGAAAACTGGAATGGTTTATCTCCCCACTACTTTTCCAGCTACCTTGGATCCTCTGTCCACCAAAAATTCTTTCAAATCAATTCAGCAGTCAAGCCCTTACCCACCTCTTCAGCTTCGTCTGTCAAACACAAACAGAGCCTCACAAAACACCGAAATACCCACACGTGTTACTTCCACTCAGATGTAAATATTTGGGGCTTCCTAAGCATGTTTTGTAGCTTTTCTGGTGCTGTTACATAGAAGTGGTTTTTAATTCCACCACTTACAAAATTACAGCCCTTTAGCAGAGGCTAATGAGACCAACTCACTAACTATAGGAACTTTTTCAGGAGAATATGTCAGACAGGAAATGGCCAGTAGCTCATGTATGTCCAGAATTTGTAGGACAAATGTGGACTTACTCAGGGCCAACATTATAACATTCAAGTTGGTTCTATCTTGCAAGTGGGGCACAGCAGAAGGCTTTCTAGGTTGTGAGCAGTGTTTTGAGTTAAGGGCCATCACCCTCACCTGATCTTTTAGTCAGAGGAAGCTACCTGCACTCACACGGAAGCCCACAGTCTTAATCCAGTCGGGAGTTCCTTGAGCATTGCTCTGTATGGTCATTCAGAAACTCAGGCTTCTTTCATCCAGTGGCTCCTCTGGTGGCCTTGAAGTCCTCTGCTGGATCTTTTGCATCTTGCTGAGAGATGAGGGAAGAGAGAACACGGAGGGAATGCAGCTTGCAGGAGGTTTTAGGGTCCAGGAAATGGTTTACACTTCTCACATTTCACTTCTCACCTTCATTAACCAGAACTCAGTTATGTGATCCGTATAACTGCAGGGAAGACTCAGAAATGTAATTTAGCTGTGTGCCCAGAGGGAAGAGGCAGCAAGGTTTGGTGAGCACATCTTCTTTATGCGGAAGGTGATACCAGTTTGCTCTCTTTCTCCCCATAACCTTCAGTGATTTCCCTGTTGTCTACCAAGTTTACAACAGGCTCTTAGCATTTTAAGGTTCTCTTCATTATGGCCCTAGCCTATCCTTCCACTTAAACTGGTAGTTTCATTATCCTCCAAGCATACCCTCTTTCATTCTTCCATGCCTTTATTCAGGCACTTTCTCCTGCCTGGGGCATCCTACATCTCTTATTCTTAAAATTCTATCTGTTATTCAAGGTCCATTCGAGAGATTACTTACTCTTCATTTTCCCTGAGTCTGCCTTATAGGTACCTATTTTACTTGTACTGTCACCTCCCTCCAGACTCCCTGAGGGCAAGACGTATAGCCTATCAATTTTGTATCACTGACAATCTCTAGGAAATGCCAGAGAGAGTGCTCAATCAAATATTTGTTCAGTCGAGTTAAATAGTTTTATTTAAATGTAATATATTTTTAGTAGCTTTTCTTTCTTTTATTCTCTTTTTTTAATGAGGAAAAACATTTGTGGTAGTGGCTCTCAAATAATAGTTAGCATAAGAAACACTTGAGGGAACTTGTTAAAATTATAGATTTCTGCTATCCCCTCCCAAGATTCTAATTCTGCACATCTGATAGATCTGATGTTGGGCCTCAGTATCTGCATTTTTTAAGTGCCCTATGGGGATGGCATGAAGTGGGGCAGGATTCAGGTCATATGACGCTTGGATTGTACTTTCAGAAATATTGCAGCATCGTGTTTGTCATTAAGCCCATTAATGGACTATTGCTTTCCTTTAACAAAATAGATCAATTCATTAACAGAGGAACAGGTAGTGTGCGGAACAGTAAAAATCAAGATGTTTGTCACATCGCCTTTGGATCCAAAGTTCTGGGACCACCTCCACTCTCTGGCAGAAGAAATAACATGAAGATATCCAGTGAGGTACCAGCAAGGTTTGAAGAGCTTATCTAAGCATGGATGGCATGGGAAGGGAAGGGTTTTTTCCCCAGTGCAGGGGGAAAAGAGAGGAAGAGAGACCACATGTGAAAAGCAGAGGCTTGAATAAATTTGGAACAGAATTCTGGATTTTAAAAGACCTCAAAACTGTTTTCTTTTTGTCATGTCAACGCAACATTTTTGAGGGTTTTTCTTTTTTCATTAAATGTGTTCGCAAAACTTAAAGGCAAATATATTTTGTGAGCACATTTTGTGGTCTCCTTCAAAAAGGAGTTGTGGCGGGGGAAAAAGGAGTTGGATCATCAGCAGATACCTTACAATGAACAGATACTCAAATGTTATATTTTTATGTTTAATTTCCTCTGAATTTCTGACATACACAGTGATTTTCAGCTCAGCTTCTGCCTTCTAAAGATGGAGCGTAGCAAAATAAGCATATTTTAATGTATGTGTCTAGGAGACTTGCTTGTCTTCTGTTTTATCTCACATTTTAATTCTCCTTCCTTTTCTTTCTAATTTTCTACCATAATTTCCCTCTCCAACTTTTATCCTCTTCATTTCGTCTAGTTTTTCCCTCACTCTTTATTTGTCCAAATGTTATTTCTTCTATGTAGATTCTATAGGAAGTAAATGCAACTCCTATATTTTAAAATGTTCAGATTAATTTTTTTCCTTATAGACAGTAAGATCCTTTGGGTCCAAAAATAGCCGATCATGCCAGCAGCCTACAGTGGAGAAGTGTGTTAACAGTGCAGAAATGTCAACCTTGCTGATATCTGAGTCTGAGGAGCAAGGAGATAAGGAAAATATTCGCCAAATAAAGCAGACTATACCTATTCATGGTAAGAATCATGCATAATGATTGATAGCTAGTGAAAACAGTGGAAAATGTTCTTGTTAAGATAAACCCAAAGTTATAGTCTTTTTATTATAATTTTTTATTGAAGCAGAGTTGATTTACAATGTTATATTCTTGACTAGATCTTAAGTCCAGAGAATTATCATTTAAAAATGAAAAGGGTGGTGGATATTGAAATATGTTTAGAGGTCTTAAACATTTATTATCTTCTAGAACCTATCATTCTATTTATTCTGTTATTTTAAATTGCTGTAGTACCCTGTGTTTTTACTTCATGATGACTAGTGAGAAAATAATATAGTATCCTACTATGGCTATGTTTTGGAAACCCCACGTGCATTTTAAGTTTCTTTAGTTTTATTTTTAATTAAACTCTTCCATTGTAAAGTGCTCTTTACTTTCTCTCATTCATACAAAAACAACCCTGTTGGAAAGAAAAGACTTTTGTCCCATTTTATAGATTGAGAATTCAAGGCAAACAAAGAGGTAAAATGGTTTATAGTTTGTAATCATTGGAAAGAATTGAGAACAGAACCCAAGTCTTGTCACTTACTATAAGTTTGTCCACTCTTACTGGTCTGAATTTTGTGAGCATTCAAAAAGAGAGGCAGTTGAGTTCATTTTATTTGGTTAGAAATTAATGACCACTATTAGAGACTCTATCTCCTATGGAGTATAAAACTGAGATAAGGAAATGAATAACATAGATACCCACTCCCATCTCTATCACTATCTGTGAGACCTTGATCAAGTTTCTTAAACCCTGTGAGCCTCAGTTTCCTCATCTACAAATGGGGATACAACTACTACCAGCTCTAGTAGTAGAAAGAAATAACGGCTGCCTCAAAGTGTCAGTGTGAGGATTCAATGAGAAAAATCTGTCCAGTTCTTGGCACATCATATTGTGCCAAGAATTTAAGCATTCAGTAAATATCAAACACTGCTCTGAATATTGTTATTGATACAGAATTAAATGACACTTAAAGAATTCCTCAGGTTTGATCTCAGTTCTCCAAGGTTCTTTTTGAAACTACCCTTTAAGCTCTTGTTGAATCATACTTAGCTATACTCTTTTAAAGGAAGAAATAATTTTTCTGTATTGGCTGTCAATTTCATTTGTATATTTTTTAATATAACATGTTGCATGATTAACATTAATCAAATTACTTGTACCTCTCTAAGGTTATATTACATGAGTAAAATGTATTAGTAATTTTGAAAGCCTGATATAATTTTAATACTGGAATAGGGATAAACACTTATTTTCTAAAAAGGAATAAGTTGTGTTTTTGATACAGCTTTACATTATATCAAAATGATACATGAACATTCTCATTGTAACTATAATTATATTTACTGAGTTATTTCAAGCCAAATAGTACTTTCTGTCCTGCCTTTTTGTTCTTTGATATGAAAATGTACCAGCCAATCTGCATATTATGCATCCACATCCCCCTCAAGAACCATCAGCAGATAAGAATAATAACAGGAGAAGATTACGGTTAAAAAGCACCAGCAGAGAAAGGACAGAGACACCCAGCGGTATGGCACTAATTCAATACTATCTTATATCTGTATATTATTCGGAGCAATGGAATCTCTCTCTGCAGGTTGTAAATTTCAAAGGATTATGAGCCAATTCATTTAAAATATAAATGTCTGTTCTACAAGGATTATGGAAAATCAAATTTTCTGCAAAAGAATTGCTCTAGAGCCCAAACAGAGATTTGCTGGATTAAATAGACAGTACCACAAATAAAGGGCTTCCTACTTCTACTCTCAGAGGCTGAATAAGCTTAAATTATTGATTTTTTAAAACAGCCTACATTTGATAGAAGTTCCTGCCTGCAGACTTGACTAAAATTGAACTTAACTCATAATTCTTCATGTTTCATTTATGTCTCTTCTTTTTAAATGAGCCTTTTTCAGATTGTTTTTACATTTTCTGTCTCTCCCTTTGGACTCCTTGCCATCTGTTACAATGTAGGTTAATTTCAACTCTTCGTAACTAGTAAAGCATTAGACAAATATAGGCAGTTATTATAGTTATTCCTATAAATGCTAGATTTGAGGCATATATGTATAGATTTGTATCCACATGCATTAGTCTAGCCTGAATCAAGCCCAGAGTGTATCATGTACATACCTGTTAGCGTAACTTCTCAAAAATGTAGAGTTCTTGGGTAAGCCACAATTCTGCTTGCTAGGTTTCATGTTATTTTTATTAGTCGATAGATAATTTTCTTCTACAATAATGCCTGTATCCATTTTTTTAAGGTACTGAAGGTAAGAGCTTGGTTAGAAGAGTTGACTTAAGTAAGAATTGTAATTTAAAGAAAACACTATATTTTATGTGGAACCAAAGGAAAAAAATATAAGCCCCTTTAAAAATTATATGAGTTTTGGGATTCCTTTTATCATTTATCATAAAACTTAAATTTAAAATGTCCCATGCAAATATCAAGAAATTTTAAGATGAACCTCTAAAAAAATGGAGCTGAGTTCATCTTAAAATAGTCTACTGAATAGGAAAAAAACTGCATGTAATCTATATTGTCACCTCTAACTTGCTTTCAATAATCATATAGAAAAGTATACCACAATACCATTCTTCAAAAATTAATTTTTCTATATATCAAAAGAAGTAATATAGTGAAAAATTTTTATTCCAATAAAGGCAATTCTTCAGGAAATAGCAGGAATGAAGATAAAGCAACAACTATCCTTACCACCATGTCCCAACAAAAAGCAGAGTCATTGAACCCTAGCTCTCCAGTGCTCCAGTCTCCTGATCAAGCAGGTTAGCATCTTTATTATACCATAATTGCTAATAATTAATAAAATATAAATATATTAAATATTTCAAACTCAGTCATTTTGAAAAGTCATGATGCAGTCATTTGCTAAAATCTATCATTTTTTTGTTAATCTCTTTTTAACCTCAATTTTATGTCAAACTTTAATGGATGAAAGAGGATTTTTATTTTCAAGTTCTGAGGCACAGGTTGTCCTTTTCAGAATGAAAGTTTGAAACTTTGAAGTTTTCAGATAACGTCACCCTCCCCAAAGATTATCTATTGTTGCCTTTCTCTAATCCTCTTTATAATGGAGGCAGTTGGAGTGTAGAGCATTGAGCCCATCAACATATCTTGCCTAGCAGGTGTGTGGTACTTTTACAAAGGGAAATTGTTTTTGAGCTAGGGAAAAAGGGAAATAAATGAAAATTGTTTGTAGTTTGTCAGTCTTATTTATGCAATGTTGAAACCTTCATTAAAATGTTAGGCGCAATTAGTGTCTCTAGCATAAATCTGACTGTGTAGAAAAACTAATTAGATGTTTAGGTGATCATTCTTGCATTTATCTTGTTTGCTGCAATATTGTGATTACACAGTAATTTACATATTTTCCTAAGAAAACACACCAAATTATTCATTACAATTGATATGGAAATACTTGAGGTAAAACTACAAATTCCAAAAAAGCATGTGGTAGTGAGATAATTAGAGTTCTTTTGGTGTAAACACACTCCTTTTACTTTGACTTTTTGACTATTAATAATATGTTTGGTGATAGGTCATACAAGTTGTTTAATTGCATAATGAAGATTCCCAGGATCTTTTCCTCCAATTTTCGTTACTCGTCCTTGTGCATTGGTTTTTGCAATCTTTTTCAACATTTACTAAAGCATCTACTGTGTTTACAAAGCACCTGCTAGTTGCTTAGCACCAGGCAAGAGTTTGCTGTTCAAAATAAGACAATCCAATGGATCTATTCATTTCACTTGCCCCACAGCTATGCTGACTCAGGATCCTCTGCATCCTCTATGAAGGTGGTCAGATGAAGTAGATTCAGCCTATTTACCTACAGAAAATGTGAAAGCCTTGTCGCTAATAGATTTTCTCTAAGAAATGTATATTTATTGTTCTTTCAATATGCAAATTATATTATATAATCATAGGCTTATGTTAAGAAACAGATGAATACAGTTTTATTTGTGTCATCAATACAATTTTTATTAAAGGTCTTTGTTGCTTTTGCTTTGTAGTGTTAGCTTCAAAGTTTCAAGTTAGCAAATCTTAGATATCTCTTGATTACTTTTCTTGTAACAATAAATATAAAAGGATTCAAGAGTCAGGAGTAAAATCACCATGTCTACATTGCAGTTCTGCAGGGACTCTTGTAAGATTTTTACCATTGACATAATGCACTAAAAAAGTAAATTTCAAAAAATAGACTAAGCTGAGAAAATGCTCAACTTTTTCTATCATTCTAAAGAAGAAAGTAAGCCTGCTTTTAATATTTGTTATAAAGATGTGTCCTTTCCAGTTTTCCCAGGCCATAAAGTTATAAAATCTATCCCAATGTTGAATAAAAGATTAAAAATTTTTAAAGTTTTAATAAAAATGTATCTCATTGGTAGGGTACAATATTTTTAAAGAAAACAAATAATGTGCAAAAGATTTTCATATCAAAAGATTCTCTCCTAAAATTAAGTTAAAATTAAACAAAGGTTTTTTCCATCAGCAAGATTACCAGTCACATTAACAAATACTTCTGTGAATTTACTATTACTTAAAAAGTCAGTTTACTCTATGAACTGAACCATTCCAATCAGTAGAATGGAGAGAGAAAGGCTGTCAACCTTTTCGTGTTTTCCTCTCCTCCATGTTTTGTAATCTGAACAAGGCCCAGATATTTTGTTTCAAGAGCTTGTTAAGTACCTCTATCCTCTTGATGTTAAAAGAAGACATCAGTAACTCACACCCTTTTAAATTTGGAAGATTTTTCCCTCTGTAATGTCAAATTAATGAGGCTGTACTATAAAGAACCTGCTGCAAGACAGATGATAATTATTTCAGACTTATAAATTTCCTGGCCAGTGTTTCAGCTCAGATGGAGAGTAAGTGCAAATAAGTTGCCTCTAGCTATAAGCACTATCTGTGGGTTAAATGTTTAGCAGGTTACAAGATGGTGGATAAATTGTCTTCCTTGGCTTTTGTATTATTTGATAAATCTATTTCATCAGCAAGAAATGTTACCCTAACTACCTGCCCAAAACCACTTATGGAACACTACTCTAACTTTTGTCATCTTTTCCTAATGTCAGATGAGTGGATATTTCCTGAAAAGGATGATCACATTCCCCATTTAGTATCGAGCACACAGTCTCTATGTCTGGATGAAGACTTCTGCCACACCTCACACCTATGGCTAGAAGTCAGCAAGGACAGTGAACGTGACCGAGAGGCAGAGGAAACCCAGATTGTTCCAAAGGATATTTTCACTTTTTCATCAAGACCACGATCGGCACCTCATGGAAAGACTCAGAATCTGTCCCCAGAGGAGTGCCCATTTCTTTTGGATCTAAAAGAAGATACCAGTGTGACAAGGAGAGATACCCAATTGGAGGAGGATTTTTATGGCAGTGACAGCAGCGAAGAGGTATGCTGCTTGATGAGTGAAGTAGTTCCAAAGCACAGTTGTTCCATTAGCTCCAACTAAGCTCTAAAACTAGTTGAAATGAAAGAGGGGAAATCAACTGCTATTTATAAAAAAGCAGCAGATTGCAATGTCAGTCAACAGTTGCCTCAGGTTGTTATGGTAACTCTGAATTGCTGCCTTTTTTATTAAGTTAGCCAATTTCATTTTTAATTATGGAAACCAGCTTTTGGTTTGATTTTGTTTTTTCATTTTAATCTTCATCTCACCGAATGACAAATGATATGCAGTTTAGTTGTATGATAGCAAAACCAGTAAATCATTGAGAACACATTGTTCTGGATCTCTGGGGAGATTGTGTTGCAGTTGCTAAGCATTCTGAATTGAAGGTTTTCTGGCTTCCTTACTCCCCTGCCATCTTTTCACCTTAGACCTATTAGGACTTGTTATTTTCCATATGGTCCCAGAATTTTAAGAGTTGTGCCAATTAAAGTTTAGATAATGAATCATGGATTAGTGCTGGGACTTGCTTTACAGGAGGTTTTATGTTTGCCGTTATTTAGAATACAAATATCTCATAAATCAATAAATTCATAAAAAGTATTTTTTTAACTTGTTCAATATCAAAGTGAATGCAGCTCTGAAACTTAAAACTTAATACATTATGGTAACTCTCTTTCCTCATATGAGATGAATTTATTTGTAAAATTTCTTTAGCATTATTCTTTAATAATAGGCATTCGTATTTTCTAGAAAAAATATATAAATAATTAGAAAAAAACTTTTTTGGTATGCCTTCAAAACTTTTTAACAGTTCTGATTGATCAGGAATACCCCTTTGGTCAGCGGGATATAGATTAAGTCCATAGCTTCTACTTTCAGAACCAGCTGAGAATATGGTGAGATTGTTCAAACAGTAATTATGGGTTTTTTGCAACTTTTAATGAGTTTTTTTAGCAAAGTGCATGGGGCAATTCTTTTTTATAATATCCTTGCTTCTGAGTGTGATGAAACTGTTAGTCATACCAAAGATAATCCCACTAAAACCCCTTTATGCATAAATGCATAAATAGTACATTTTAAATGTTGCTGTGAACAACTTTGTCCATTTCACCCCAAATAAAATTAAGCTACAAAACTGTAAAGTGAACATTTGTCTTCAGCATCTAACATTGCCCTCATCCCAGCTGTCAATTCTTCTACAGTATTAATTGGCTTATCTGATAAATTAATTCATACCATTTTATGAATGATAATAGGCCCATCTCTTTCCCATGTGCACAGCCCAATCTTTCTTACCTAACCCAAAAGAATTACTGTAATGATGGCAATTTAATGGCAGATGGGAAATGGTAGTTCTCTGGAAAGCTTTGAAGGGAGTTTTATGAGGAAGCTGTCCTTTACATAACACCATGTGAGGAACTTACCTCTTCCATCTCTATGAAGGCTAAGCCTTGAGAAGAAGCAGTAGAGCTTCATGAGAAAATGAAAAATACTGATTGTGAATATTTCAGTTTATCACTTTATGTGCTTTCTTTTGCTACTAGCTACTCTACTTCTGGCATCCTTCAACATTTATTATGCAGAAATGTACTTATTACCAACTACATGAAATTGAAAATTAATTTATTAGGCATTTTCAAAGCTCTGATTGGCATAGCTCTCTGGTCACCTCTGTGCCACAACCATCAGAATATGGCTTGAGTCTGTAGTGGGACCATCTCATTGCTAACACCTGCCCTGGTTCACCTTTAGAGCCTAAGAGTGGCAGCTAGAGAGAGGGGCAGAAGCCTTGCCATATTGCACAAGCTTTGAGGTTTGCTGTTAGAGGCAATAACAAGATAGAAGCTAAAATATAAACAGATGACCTATAGAAATGCCAGGCTATATTTAAACAAGTTCTAGAACTTGTAATGACCCCTTCTTTATCAAATTGATTTGTTTGGGTTTTTTTGTAAATTCTTTTTCTGTGGGATTAGTTCTCCCATTTATTAATTAGATAAGTCAATGGAACATTAGATTACATATTTAAAATGTTTATTTCAATATGATCTTTGAAGAAAAAAATCAATTAAGTTCATTTAGGCATCCTTAATATTAGTTGCATTATTTTAGAATATTATATCCTTAGAGTAACATTATTACTCTAAGGAAAACATAATGTCATGTTATAAATGATGGTAGACAAATGAGTAATAATTGCATTACTTATTGTGCTGGGGTTTATAACTTGTAGTTAAAAGCCTTTATCTGATGTTAGACCGTTTGAGTATTTTTAAAGGGAAATTAGATCTATTCAGTAGCAAAAATCTAGGCAAAATCAAATCATGTTCTGATAGAGAAAAATACACGTATGATAGTAAAGGCTAATCAGTGATATATTTTCTTTGTAATTTAAGTTCCTAATAATCAGTTCACATTTGAGATCTTTATTAGTGTGAAAGCCCCAAAAGTATGATTTTTTTTTTTGCATAGTCTCTTGTCTTAGTCTTTGCTTTACTATATATGTTATTACTTAGGCAGCCATATGTAGTAATTTTCTTGATAGTCAATTAATTTTGAAGTTGTACTTCTTATTTGAAAAGCACACTATGGAAATATATTTTGTAGTGAGTTATAAAATCAAGACTTCCATGTAAATGAATTATCTTAGGAAAGCTGTTAAAACAGAGTACCTTTCATACAATTGCAGCATCTGAAAGAAAAAAAGTATGTTATTATTGTATCTATATTTTGTTTTTTATGCCGTAATTCCCAATGTGGCTTCCAGTATATACTTTATATTAATATTTTATTACTTCCCTAATTTAATTTTTCATCATCTACAGATGTAGTCATTTTTCCTTAAATACTGGCTGTGTATCACATACTAAAGTAGATATTTGCAAAGCTAGGTAGTCTGTCTTCTATAACAACCCAAATTAGAACATTTGAGCCAAAAACTTATCCATATTTGGACATGACTTATGTGGACTAATTCCCTATAGTATTCAAATTACCTAGGAAGCTTCCATATTGTCTCTTTATCTAACTGTGGAGGCCGGCAAAGGACAAATTTACAAACAACAGATTACAAGGACCGTTTTAGTGCTTCCTCTTAACTTTCGTGGTATTAATTGCTTTCAAGTTACTTTTTTTAGCACTCAGTAGTTAAACTACTTCGTATCTTTTTTTTTTCTTGATGGCATGTATTTCTGGGTTACACTATTAACCACTCATCCCTACATGCTTGGCTAATAATTTTGAGTTACATTCTCACACACACTTATATAGGCACAATAGAAATGATATTTACTCCACATGAGGCTGCTTGTATTTCTGTGTAGCCTTTAAAAAATTTTTAAATGTCAATTTATATATTGGAAAAATGTGGAAGAATTCTATTTTGAATATTGCTTTTAGGCTGTTCACATCTGCATATCTTTATCTTTGAAGTTCTACTCTTCTCTGAAAATGACACAGGCCCCTTGGTTCCTGTAACTTGGCCCTTCATTGTTATAGACAGATAAAAAAGGCTATAAAATTTTTGTCTGCTTAGAATAATGTCATATTTTTTGCTAAAAGATAAATATCTGCAGGTAAATATTTGGTTATAAATAGGAGTTTTCAAAGAAATTTGTTTTATCTAACTTATAAGGAAAATATTTTTTTTGTCTTGGACAATTTAAGGAATCTCATCATTTTCCCCAGATATTCACGTGATGATGTTTGCCCATCCCATACAATCCCTCTAACTTCTGCTATGATTTGTCTGTGAGGCATCACTGACTACAGCTAAAGATGTTTACAAACATAATTTGCCCAGGTCCCTGTAATATCAGGCATGCTGCAAGTTAGTTAGAAGCAGTGGCATCTTCCTTTCGTTTTGTTTATAAACTAGTAAAATGCGTTATGTCACCCCTATCAATTATCTTCGCCACCCAGGAAGACTTGTATTATTCTAATAATTTCCTATAAAATTCAAGAGGTAGAAGTAGAAATACTCCTTAGGGATGATTATTAGTGAAGACATTGAAGATACGTTTGAATGGTCAGTCTTGGTGTCATCAAAGAAGAGAGGATTTTTTTTTTTCGTTTTGTTATGATGGATATCTTTAGCTGTATTAATGCAAATAACTGTGCTTTAGTTGACAACCAAAGTATATACCTATATAATCTCTATTGTCTGCTAGTGCTGTTGTCCAGCTAAAAGGTGCTATCAGCTCACACATTTAGTCACTAAAACATTGGACAGAAGTAAAAACTCCTGCTGACTCTATCTCAGTTAAAATTCAAAACTGCCATCAAAAGTGTATTTGGAATATTGCAAATGTGTTTTGTTCAAAACTTTTAAGACTGTTATATAAGACTTGTTTCACGGTGGACTGAATTTAAAAATGAATTGAAATATAAGTAAATATGATCATCCACTTTTACAAAGGCTAAAACAGAGTTCTATCCTGACTCACTCAACATTAAAATTGTGATACAAAGAGCCTGGGTCTCATCTGCTCCAAGTAGGTGGCCCTCAAGAGTCATTAAAATTACCTTTTTAAAACTACAACTCAGCAAGAGCAATTCGTTTCGTGCATCCAGAAATTATTGTCCAAATGCCCATCTGCATGTCCTTTTAAGAAACATAGTTCTGCAGAGAAAGTGCTGGGTCCTTGGGGAAATCATTCTCATCTTCAGCGTACATATGCTGTGCTACAGTTAATCAGGCAAATTCTATTGATGTTCCTGGCACTGGGGCGTGATTGAATATTTAACAAACAAATGTTTCTGAGCCCAGAAGACAAATGGTTCAAGAGATTTGGGACTTTTAAAAAATATATTAAGTTAAATCAAAAGCATTTTGTATTTGTTCTTCTGAGAAACAGATGAACAGATGATTGGAATATGAAAATAGCATAACAAAGTCTTTACTACTTTGACAAATTATATTCAGTTGCTGTGCAGGTTTTCAGTAGCTAAATGATAAACCAAAGGGGAAAAAAGTGGTTGTTTTTCAATCAGATTATACTAAACTAGCTTTTTATGCATATAACAAATGTTTATGTTATATAGGACAAAATTAATCCAAAAGCATGTTGAGGCCACATGTGTTGCATATGTGAAAGTAATATACATCACCTGCACACTCTGCAGTTCTTTACTACAGATAGACAAGCTATTTCTTAGAAGAGGTTCTTAGACCCAAGGGTACTTTTCTTGAGAGCACAGTTGGCTGATAATCCCAACTGCTCTCCACAAGAAATGAATATCATAATGTGACAGGATTAGAGATTACAGACGCTATGTAAAAGCTTTCTGGAGTCGCTAAATACAACATACTCTGCCTTCTACAGAACTCTCAAATCAGTCCAACCTCGCCATCATCACTACCATTGAATTAACACAAACACCTCAGCATTTCTGATCATTACAATTTAACAGTCTCCTATTTGGCTTCCCCTTACTGCTATCTCCACAGACACTCCAGACGCCCTACAAACAATATCCACACAGACTCATTACCATGCCTTCTGTTTTGTGCTATCATGACATTTCCCTCTCTCAAATCACTCAATAACCCCTTGTTGCCTTCAGGATAAAGTCCCTGGATGTCAGGGATTAACTTCTAGTACACCATTATGTTCCCAGCATCTGCAGTGCCTAGAGCAGTACCTAGCCCACGATGAGGAAGAAAGGAAGAGAGGCAGGACTATGATAGATAGACACACAGGCAGATAGAGTCGTTCTAACTAAAAGTTTTGATAAATTCCTCTCTTGTCCTGTGCCCAACCTAAAGCAGACTGTCTCACCTTTACACATACTTCGCTTCTACTGAAAGGGAAATTTTACCTTAGATAGTGATCTGTATGTTGAGTGTGTATGATGGCCAAACATTCAAGAAGAAACTGAACAGTTCAGTCATTCATACATTTTGTTTAAAAATGCCAAACTTTGACGATAACTAGATGTTTGGTTCTATGTGGCCATAAATCAAAGGCTAGGGGAATGATATGAACTTATTAAGAACTTAATAACTTATTCACCACAAGTTTCAGCTCAAAACAATTTCACTTTGTTCCTCTGTGTAGGGTAACCAGAGTGTCCAGGGTTCTCCAAGCCCAACAACTAGTCCTCCAGGGTTAACTCAGTTCACATTAGACAGCGTGCTGGAAAAGGCTGCAAGGTGGACAAGTAAAGGATATCTTAAAAGTGCCTACGCAGAAGCAGGAGCATCAGAAAGCCAGAATTCCTTGGGAAAGCAGATAGATAAAAAAGACTTTGAAGCGAGTTTGGTGCCTACAGCATGCCTTTCACCCCCTGGAAGAAGGAGTGAATCCTTTCTGAAAACTCCAGACCCCGTTGCCAAAGCAAAGCACCTACCAGCCCATCAAGAGTCAGCTTCAGTAAACAAAACCACCCTAAAGGAAATTTCAGGGGAGAAGTGGAAGGCGATTCCTGAAGTATCTGTAAGTGGTTTCACTCTGTTTTACATAAGTGTGCAGTACATCCTCCTGCATTCTGTTCTGTTCCACTTTGCACACATTCTCAGCAGTATCTATTTTTCATCATTTCGACGATCAGTAATGTATTTTCTTTCCTATTTAGATGTGTTTTAGCTCAGTAACAGCAGCTGTTAAAGAGTGTCTTGCACATCCCAATGATAATAGAATGCCTCATGTTTTTAATGAGAAAGATAATTATCATAATAGTTATTTTTTATTTCCCAGTTACTTCTCATAATTTGAGTTATCACTGCCTGCAAATTATAAATGAAGATCTTATTTCTGAGCCAAAGGCTTGCCAGTAAAATTGACAGATTTTCAATAACAATCTACATTAGGAGCCATAAAAACATCATTATTCTCTTCACTCTCTGGTCTCTTTGCAGCCATTCCCCAAATAATAAATGATAGGAGTGAAGGTTAACAGTAAAACAGTGTCATTGAGTAAATCCCTAGGCTACTTTGGTGGCTATATTCATGTCCATCAGATTGATTTTTTTCCTTCCTGTGTGAGTGCTTTTCTTCCTTCAGTCCCCCCATATAGCTGCACTTAGAAACTAGAGAAAAAATGAGGCTATGCAGAACAAATGACACTTATATTCCAGTTTTTTAAATTTTTCATGTCCTAAGTATTCTGTATGTGTTACAATGTAGAACTTCAGTTCAATTATGTGCTAAGCATGTTAGAATGGATTGTTACTTAGTACAGATAATAGACATATATATCATTACCATCAACTAATATTTCTTTATTTCTTTTATTTTTTCTTGAGATAACATTGGTTTATAACCTCATGTAAGTTCCATGTGTACAGCATTTTTTTTCTACTTCTGTATACACTAGAGCACACTCAGCACCAAACATTTAGTTTCTGTCACCACAGAGTCGATCCCCTATATCCCTTCCCCCCTACCCCAGCTTTACCTTACCCTCTGGTAATCACAACTCTGTTCTCTGCATCTGTGAGTTTGTTTTATTTTTATTTGGTTTGTTCATTTTATTTTTTTTTGTTTTTCTATATTCCACATATAAGTGAAATCATTCAATATTTGTCTTTCTCTATCTGATTTATTTCACTTAGCATAATAATCTCAAGGCCCATCCATGTTATTGAAAATGGCAAGATTTCATTTTCTTATGGCTAAGTTGTATTCCATTATACCTGATTTTCTTTATCCATCTAACTGTTGTTGGACACTTAGGTTGTTTCCATATCTTGGTTATTGTAGATAAGGCTGTAATGAACAAAAGTATGTGTATATCTTTTCAAATTAATGTTTTTATATTTTTTGGATAAATACCCAGAAGTGGGATAGCTGGGTCATATAGTAGTTCTATTCTTAACTTTTTGAGGAATCTCTATACTGTTCTCCATAGTAGCTACACTGATTTACATTCCCACGAACAGTGTATCAGGGTTTCCTTTTCTTCGCATCCTTGTCGGCATTTGTTATTTCTTCTCTTTTTGATAATAGCCATTCTTGTCTCTGTGTGTGCGTACGTTTTGTTTGTTTATTGAAGTATAATTGATTTGCAGTATTGTGTTCATTTCTGGTATACAGCAAACTGATTCAGTTACACACATACATATATATTCTTTTTCATATTCTTTTCCCTTATAGTTTATTACAAGATATCAACTATAGTTCCCTGTGCTGTACAGTAGGACCTTGTTGTTCTTCTGTTTTACACACAGTAACTTGCATCTGCCAAGTTTGGGATTGGCAGATAAAAGCCATTCTAACAGGTATGAGGTGATATCTCATTGTGGGTTTAATTTGCATTTCCCTAGTAATTAGTGATGTTGAACATCTTTTCATGTGCCTGTTGGCCATCTGTATGTCTTTTTGGACAAATGTCTATTCAGCTCCTCTGCCCATTTTTTAATTGAGTTCTTTAGGGGTTTTGTTTGGGGGGCGTTATTGTTGAAATGTATGAGTTCTTTATATATTTGGGGTATTAACCCCTTATGAGATATATGATTTGCAGATGTATCTCTCATTTGGTAAGTTGTCTTTTTGTTTTGTTGGTGGTTTCCTTTGCTGTGCAGAAACTTTTTAGTTTGATGTAGTCCCATTTATTTATTTTTGCTTTTGTTTCTCTTACCTGAGAAGACATATCTAAAAAGGTATTTCTAAGACCAATGTCAAAGAGCGTAATGCCTGTGTTTTCTTCTAGCAGTTTTATGGTTTCACATCTTACATTCAAATCTGTTTTGAGTTGATTTTTGTGTATGGTGTGAGAGAATGGTCTAGTTTCATTTTTCGTGTGTGACTGTCCAGTTTTCCCAATACCATTTATTGAAGAGATCATCCTTTCCCTAGTGTATTTTCTTTGCTCCTTTGTCATAAATTAACTGTCCATATATGTATGGGTTTATTTTTGGGCTCTCGGTTTTGTTCCATTGATCTTTATATCTCTTTTTCGGCCAATACAGTGCTGATTTGACTACTATAGCTTTGTAATATAGTTTGAAATCAGGATGTGTGATACTTCCAGATTTGTTCTTTTTTCTCAGGATTGCTTTGGCTATTTGGGGTCTTTTGTGGTTCTATATAAATTTTAGAATTTTTCTATTTCTGTGAAAAATTTCCTTGGGATTTTGTTGGGGATTACATTGAATCTGTGGATTACTTTAGGTAACATTAACAATGTTAATTCCTCCAATTCATGAGCACAGAATATCTTTCTATTTATTTGTGCCTTTAGTTTCTTTCAACAATGTCCTATAGTTTTCAGTGTATAGGTCTTTCACCTCCATGTTTAAATTTATTCTTTTTTGTGATTGTAAATGAGATTGTTTTCTTCATTTCTCTTCTGCTAGCTCATTGTTGGCATGTAGAAATAAATACACCCTGCAAACTTTACTGAATTTGCTTATTATTTTAATGGTTTTTTGGTGGAATCTTCAGGATTTTCTATATATATATATGTCAAAGAGCATACTGTCATCTGCAAATAGTGACAGTTTTACTTTTTCATTTCTGACTGGAATGCCTTTTATTTTTTCTTGCCTAATTATTCTATCCTACTGTGTTGAATAAGAATGGTAAGAGTGGGCATTCCTGTCTTGTTCCTGATTTTAGAGGGATAGCTTTCAGTTTTTCACCACTGAATGTGGTGTTAGCTGTGAGTTTGTCATATATGAGTTGTATTATGTTGAAGTATGTTCTTTCTATACCCATTTTTATTGAGATTTTTTATCAAAAATGGGTGTTGAATCCAGTCAAATGCTTTTTCTACATCTATTGAGATGATCATATGCTTTTTATCCTTTGTTTTCTTAATGTGATATGTCACGTTTATTGATTTGTGGATGTTGAACCATCTTTGCATCCCTGGAATAAGTCCTACTTGATCATGGTATATGATCCTTTTAATATATTGCTGTATTTGGTTTACTAATATTTTGCTGAGGATTTTTGCATCTATGTTCATCACAAATATTGGCCTGTAGTTTCGTGTGTGTGTGTTGTGTTTGGTTTTGGTATGAGGGTAATGTTGGCCTCATAAAATGTGTTAAGGAGCATTCCCTCCTCTTTAATTTTTTGAAGAGTTTGGAAAGGATGGGTATTAAATCTTCTTTGAATATCTGGTAAAATTCGCCTGTGAAGCCATCTTGTCCTGCACTTTTGTTTGGGAGAGGTTTTTGATAAATGTCTTTTTACAAGTTTTCAGTCTATTCAGATTTTCTGTTCTCCATGATTCAGCCTTAGAAAACTGTTCTTGTCCTACTTTACCGCAATTTTTTCTTTGGACACGCTGATAATTGAAATACAGCTAGTAAACCAACCTTACAAATTTATTCTACAGCACTGCTTCACTTGACTGTAGTCAATACTGGGCTGCCGAAAACAGAACCAAAACAAATCTTTGAGAAGAGTCCACTTCATTTTCCCCCAAATTTCTTTGCCACGATCTTCTATTAGACAGAATCTGTCATGCTATATATCCAAAAGATTGTTTATTTTCCATCTTTTTATATCTCTATAGAAATAAAACTGGAGCATGAAAATCAGCTTGAGAGCCTCAGGCACAAACAGACTTTAAGTACCTGGCCAGCAAAGTACACTGCCTAAAAGATAGTCCTCTCTGATAATACCAGGGAATAATGAAAGGAAGAAGGGGACCAAATTTTGGAGAGAGAGCAGGGGACTTCCCCTCACCCATTCTCTTCATTCAAGAGGCTTTTAGGAGAAGACAGTTCCTGAAACCATTTGGGTTATTTCAAGAGGCCCTTCTTACAGCTGCTCACTGCATATTACAAAGCACAAGCAGGACATATGTCTGTTCTACACGGGAGCCCTCTGAGATATTACTATTCCATTTTACAGCTAAGGAGACTGACAGAGCAATCCCTTGAAAGGAATAAAAGGGAGAAGGAACTTTATCTTTGATGAAAGGCTAAGGCACAAAGGCACAGCTTCCCTTTTGTGCAGGGAGGTTTGACCTTGGTGTCAGAATTCAGGCTAATAAAACTTGCTCTCTAACAACCCACGTGATGGCTACAATCTATGGCTCACATTTGTGAATGTAATAGTCTCAGTTTAATAGGATATAAAATTATGAAAGACATAGGGATTCTATCCCATTTCAAAGTGAATTTTCAATGGGAATGAAGTGTTCTTCCAGAGACATGATTTTAAAAGAAAATTCATTGTCATAGGGTTCTAATAATTGACATTCTATCCACTTGACATTTGCTGCTAAGAATCTATGATAACAAGTTTTCTCAAAAGAGTGTTTTGTGCTTACTAACTCCACAAAGGGATTTTTGTTCAGATCCCAGAAACCCACAGGGGTGACTTATTTAAAAAAAATTTATTGAGATTTAATTTGCACAATATAGAAGTCAACATTTTTTAGTAGATTTACAAAGTTGTACACCCATCACTACTATCTAATTTTAGATCATTTTCATCACCTCAAAAGAAACTCCATTCCCATTAATAGTCACTCCTCA